TATGATCTGAATGAATGGGGGAAACCCCCCCAAAACCCCAAAACTCATTCAGATCCAGTTTGCTTCATTGAATTTACAGGGGTTTTTTTTTTTTACTTCTTAATTTCAGTCATATTTTGCTTTCTGTGAGCAAGTACTGAGTCCTGATTTTTCTGAAGAACTCTGCACATCATTAGCATCACTCGTTCTTTTCGTACTTCCTTGTCTTTAGCAATTTTATACTATGGGACATTTATGATGCTTGTTATGGCACCTTCTGTGTGCAGGCTCAGAAAAATCCTTCTCACCAGCTTCCACGGAGTGCAATCTGCTACCACTGGTCCAAGTGGTGGCAGTGGGGAGAAAAGATGGCATGCTGCCAGCAACAAGTCCTGTGGAAGCAGCTCCATACACCTAGCTCTTCCATTTTATAGAGTATCCACTTTATTCTTACAATGCTCCAGAAGTACAGAACCATTTTTGATACCAAATATTCCTTATGCTTTCCCCTCGGTGTGCAGTCCATGAAACTGAGGTTTAGAGCATGCGGTGCAATGACAGCTCTCAAATGAAATGTGTGTTGTGGCAGGACTTTCACTTCTGAATGATCATTCATCAGACAGAGTGATTAACTGTCAGACTTCATGACTGTTTTAGGAGCTTATTACTTCTATCAATGCATATAGTAGTAGGGGAATTTTTTTTTTGCCTCTTAAGCATTAAGAGGGAAAGCAAAACTGATTTGGAAAATAGCTCACGTATATAGATGTTAAATATTAACATGATACACTTGATTTAGGAATCTTTGGGTATTTCTAACATTTTGTTATAGTCCAACAGATTCTGGAAAGTTTACAAACAGCATTTCTCAGTGGAAATAAAAATTATTCTGCCTTTGCAGCAAGGGTAAATCTGGTTTTCTAATGTTAATGTCCCATTTCAGTAAATAAGAGATTTCTGAAGAGTCTTTTCTCATTGTTTCAGCATATTATCGGTTTTCATTGAGATGGGTGTTTTTTAGTATGTCTTTGCACACCATTAATTACTGCTTGCAATGTATTGTATCACGTAATCTGCACCAACACAGAAAATGTGAATAAAATCATAGAAACACAGAATGGCCTGGGTTGGAAAGGCCCTTAAAGATCACACCTTCCACCAGACCATGTGGCTAAAAGCCCCATCCGATGCCTTGAACACCTCCAGGGATGTGGCATCCGCAACTTCTCTGGGCAACCTGCTCCAGTGCCTCACGACCCTCACAGTAAAGAATTTCTTCCTAATACCTAATCTGATCTTTCAGCTTGAAGCCATTGCCCCTTGTCCTGTCACTTTATGCCCTTTCAAAAAGTCCCTCTCCATCATATCGGGGAAAATACTGGGGAAAAACGAGAAATTAGAGAGCGAGAAACGTTGAACTTGCTGGAGCTGCCTCCAACAGCCTCTTTTTTTCATTTTCTGAGGGGGAGAAAAGGAAAAAAAAAAAAAAAAGAGGGAGAGAGAAGTCATGGAGTTCATCACATGGCTTTCCAGTTCCAAATCCCCCAAAATCACGGGGAGGGTGCAGTACTTCAGCCCCCCACCGGAGGGAGACACCACCGACACCACCGCCGGCCCCTCTGCAAGCCCCGGGCCCGTCACTGCATCCTCATCACTCGCTTGGCAGCAACACCAAGGCTGCAAGCACGAAGCCTTTGCACTCACTTACAGCTAACACAGCCCAATAAAAATTACCAAATGATCTGCCTAAGAGGATCCTAAAGACACGGGAAGGGTTCTGCCGGGTAACGGTAAAATTTCGCGAGGCTATTCCGAGTTTTGGTGTGCGCGCGAAGCCCCTTAAAGAGAGTCGTGTGAGTAACACCAGAAAGGTCTAAAGCTTTTCGGTTCCACGGAAGTGGAAAATCCCATTTCGGATTTCTGCACTCGTAAGTCTGCTCGTAAATAGGAAAGAGGGGAATGAAGAGTTTTGGTTTTAAACAACTGAAGTGCTGTCTGACTGAAATACAAGTAACACTTAAGTAATGACTGTTTTGGTGTCAAGCCCTGCAATACATGTATAGAGATCTTACTAAATGAGTAACAGCAGGGTCTGCCCTCTATCTAGTAATAAAAAGCAGAAAGAAAACAAAAATTTGTGGTCATCACCTTCTAAAGTTAATAAAAACAACCTATGAGAAAATGTATAGTAAAACACTTCATTATAAGAAATATTCCATTAAAATAATGTGATTCAACTAGTCCTTCTTGAGATTCTTCTTGACATTCTTAAACTGATTTTATTTATGAAAGTAAGCATCTCTGTATTTAAAGGTGTTAAGAGCTCACGTTCTTGCAAGTTTACTCAGTACAGCTGTTGAACTCTTAGTTCTTCTTCCATTACTCTGAGGAAAATTAAATACTGCAGATGTTATCCTTTCTAATGCCATATAGACAGAATCAGTTCCTCATTTGCAAGTTATTTATTTTTTCCTACTGAGCTTCAAGGCAGTCATGATCATTAGATAATGCTGGAGTTAAATAAACATGACCTAAAGTGATCACAAGTCAGACGTTACTTGAAAGAGATATTCTCATATCAATAAGTGGAAATCCAGGAACTGCACTTGAAATATTTCAAAAAAATCACCTCTCTTCAGAAGCAAACATCCTAAAAACACAAATGAAAAGGTAGAAATATACCTGAAATTAAAATATTTCCTATCTCCATGATATGTTTCAACTATACAGGCTGCCTTGCCAGGAGTTTAAAGCTGCTAGTGGTCATAGACAATCTAGTGGTTAAAGCCCATGAATTAAAGGAAAAAACCCCAAACCGAAAATCAGAACAAAAAAAAAATGGATGGGAAAAAAAATGAGGAAAATAAATGAGTACTCTGAAAGTTTTATATTTACCCATTCCAGTTTCACATGTCCCCTCTCTCTCCGCAGAACACCCATAGGTAAGGAGATGAACTGCCTGGAACTTGCACATGCACTGGCAGCATTTCTGCAGAGTGCAGCCCAGACAAGCCCACCCTGCCAGGAATTCCCCTAAGGACAACTGCAAGAAACTTAAGAAGATTTGCATCCATTCATAAAAGATCACACTGCTTAAGATGAAGCCAGTGTGGGACAGCTTACAGGAACTTGGGGTACTTTCAGAGCTATTGCCTAATTTCTCCAGAGCTCCGAGCCTATGCAATTCCCAGTTCTTACTGGAAAGGGGACCACTGAACACCAAGTGTCTCACTGCTGGCCCTCATAGCAAGTAGATCACTCACTTCAGAGCAATCTCTGCAAACCAGTCATTACTGCCTGACTGTTTCACATCACTATGCTTTCCTCACCTCATGAAACCTCTCGTCCTCCCATCCCATAAAAAGGGAAAAATATGTCTTAAAATCCTTTTGCAGAGAACTATCGCCAAAGAGTATTTGAAACTTAAGAATGCTCTCTGCACCATGATCTAGTACAAAAGCCAACTTCACTGCTCTTATCCCTTGATGTAAATACCCTGTTACCACCATCAACCTCTCTGATGCTTCCCATGCTTCTTGCAATTATCCTCTCAGTCCATCACTCCAATCTGGGTGTTTCCTCAGGCTTGTACATGATAAAGGTCCACTGTATTCAACAGAAACAGTCCTCCACCTATCCCACTACCCCATTCCAGAGCCTTCCCCCAGACTAAATCTCAGGAAATCTGAGAATCTAAGTACCACTTGTTGCTACAAGACAATACCAACATCCCACAGCCAGCTTGTCACAAGTAGAGACTTTTTAACAATAAGAAAAGAGAAACATCATGAAATTAAAAATAATTAGGAAGTCATGCATTTTTATTCCTCTCGTGTATAGCACCAGCATCTTGTGAAACACTGCATATAGTGATAGCAAAAAAAGTACATCTCAAACAGTTTTTATTTAAATACTGCAAGATATTTGACAGGAACAATTTTACCAGTAAAACATGAAAATCTGTATGATAGCTTTTCAAAATAAAGTCTTCTACAACTCTAGACCATGAGGAGTTTTTCAGAGCTACAGGTGAGAGCTGGGAACAGCTGTCTGTCTCTGAACACATCTTTTATCACAAATCATTCAAAATTTCAAAGAGTACCTGAGATCTTTTAGTAATGAAAAACTACACTAGGGAAGAACACTTTGCATAGTTACATTTAAAGAGAAGGGAGCGTGGCACAATAGCCAGGGATAAAAACAGCTAAAGCCCACTTTTATCTGTCATGATCATCAGGTATTTTTATTTCGTACTTTTTCATTCATAGTAAGTGTACTTACTACTGGTTTTCTGTTTTGTTTTCTTTCTCAGACATTATGTAACAGGAATTAAGGAATCAGAGCCCTCTGAAGCACCCTTAGCACCTTAAGAAGACTCTTTCACCAGGTTCTTATATACAAACAGTGAAAGAAAAGATGCATGAAACCGAGAAAGCTGCACAATCCTCCTCCCCAGTCATCTGTTTCTGTCCCTGCTACCTGTGTTTTGGGTCATAGTCGGCAGACTTTTAGCTACTTCAGCTCTGCACATCTTTGGTGGTGTTTTTTTTATTTAAGACATATTTCACTACCAACACGTACAGAAGCAGCTACCCAAGGCTGAATGGAGTTTTTATCCTGAACTGTTGTACTGGTCCTTTAACTTTTTATGACTCATACTTTAAGTATTTGGGAATTCCCCTCTAAATATGAGTTTGACACACTCACATTATAGAAAGTTATTTTATTCAAAAAGTAAAAAAATGCAACATTCATGCAATACCCAGGACTATATTTAACACCACACAATTGGTCTTTTTTTTTTTTTTTGCAATAAAGCCTCTAATTAAAGACAGATTTAAAAAAAAAATCAAGAACACGACTGAATAGCAGAAGTAGCACCATTGACACAGACAAGCACAATGTTACACACCCAAGCAAGTCAGGAATATTTTTTTAAAACTATTCCAACAATGTTAGGCTGTTTATCTTCTCCCCTGGACCCCCCAGTTGCATTAAAGAGTATACAGCTGCTCTCTTACCTGTGTGCTGAAGTGCCTTCTTGGTGGGCTGACTACTCATCAAGGATCACCTGACTTAAGCCTGGAAAAAAATTAAAATAAAATCAGCTGACCACCCTTGCTCACTGGCTTCCAGCTTAAATACTCCTCTCCACAGCGCTCTGTCATGTGAGGCAGGGCAGAACCAGCTGTCATTGCTTCAGAAAAAAGGAAACGGGCCCCTCCGTTTCCACCTCCTTCCTTCCTCCTCTCTCACTCTTTCCTATCTGTCCCTGCCTCCGACCTCCTCCCTTTCTCATTCTTCCACTCTGCTCATTCACTGCCCGCCCGGCTGGGGTCTCCCAGGGGAAGCCGCATTCCACAACGCACAAGCATTTCCCCTGCATCTCGAGGTTTCTCAACAAGCTGCCTACACACTTCTACTGGGAAAAAAAAAAGAAAAAATAAAAAAAAAAGAAAAAAAAAAAAAAAAAAAAAAAAAAAAAAAAAAAAAAAAAAAAAAAAAGACAAAAAAAAAAGACAAAAAAAAAAATTTATAAATCAGAGAGAAACAGAGAAAAGGCACCACATTCCACAACCCTCAGTCAGCCCTGGCAAGACTGCGAGGCATTTTCAGTCACACAGCACAAAATGCATTAGTCAGAGCTGAAAGACCACACACTTTGTACCACTACCATGCTTAACACAGAACGGTCTGAGCAGAGCTACAGGAAAAAGGAAAGGAGGGGTTCCTATCGGTGCTTCCATTTCGCACGGGGCAGCCACCTAAATATATGAAAAAAAATCGCAGGAAAAGGCCCAAAGCTGGCATTCCCAGCAGGAACAGCAGGAGTGTCGGCGGCAGGGAAAAGCTCTCTGCTCACGGAGCGCGACCTTTGCCGAGAGGACTCCCCCCTCCAGCAGAAATGTGTCATTCCAGAGACTGCAAGACATTATCTAAATCAGAACTTCTATCTTCCCCGATGGTTTGTTCATAGGAAATGCAAGCCCAGAAAAAGTGAAAGTAATACAGCATGATTCAGATTCCCCGAAACCACATACACTTTCAATTCAAACTTCTCTCTTCTTCGCCGCTCCTTAGCCAGTCCTGCAGCTACATCCATCTATGGAGTTTTGTTTCCTCTACTTACGCAGTTCCAACCCTCCGTGTACGCGGGGAATCTGATCAGCCAGAAGCGAGAAGAGCGTGAAAAAACCCTCCCGTCCCTCATCCAAGTGACCTAATCGCTCATCTATCTGCTCACTGCTTCCGCCCCCCCACACGCACTTATCGTATCGCCCGAAGGCGTTCTAGGAGTACGGGTAACAGCCTAGGAGAAAACACCCCTTTTTAAATCGCATCAGAGAGACAGAGAGAGAGAGAGAGAGAGATAGAGAGCGAGCCCAACTGTGCTGGACCACATCCTTTTGTCCACTGAGAACAGCACCGCGGAGTCCCCAGCCCCGAATTCCCCGCTCTGCACAGGGACCGTCCCTTGAACACCCCGACCAGACTCAGCAGCTCAAGTCAGAGTCAGAAAAGTATCGGGAGGCGGGGAAGACGGGGGAGAACCCTTAACTGCCTGCACTGGAATTTCTCCTTAGGAAAGTCCATGCTTTAATGAGAGACTGATACTAGATACCACAAAGAAACTTTTATTTCTGTAAGCACATGACTCAGATACATTTTCTGTGTGGGTTATGTGGTTATGTTATGTTTCATCTTAAAAAACTGTTTCAAAGAGACCTTTAAACATTAGTTTTAAGAGAAACTTGATGTGTTTATGTACAGGGAGTGTTTTTAAGCTGCCTTTTATTGCACAATGCTATATACAGCAGAGGCACTAATGTCTGTTTTCATTATAGATATAATTTGCATCTAATACTAAACACAATAATCTGTAAAAATATTTATTTTACATTGCATCCCTAAATAGTTCCCAGGAAAGTAAACAAACTGAACCCTGCAGCAAAACCAGATCCTCTTAGTTATAATATTATTATTCGTCCTCTTCTCTCATTCTCTTGATTTTGAAAATACGTTTACTCACTGTGTTATTGACTTAGATGCATTAGTTTATAAAACAAATGGTAGCTGCTGCTGTGTGGTATTTCAGCAGGGGAAGGCTGTCCAGAACTGCCTCGGAGACTGAACACTGTCGCCATTATAACAAAAGCATTAAAATGAATAATTCATGAGCAGAGGAAGTACCCTACTATTAAAAGGCACCGACTATTTCATGAATTGTCCAAAAGCTACCCCTTTTACTGCTCAGTTCCTCTAACTACTTAATTATTCTTCATTTTTCTAAAATAGCATCAAGTAGTAATTAACAGAAACACATGGACCAGTTGTAGGAGACTTTCCTGGGGAGTAAGAAATTAAAGCCAACAAGTGAGCCAGAGAGAGGAAAAAGAAAAAAAAAAAGGTGTTTATATTTGATCTTGGATATATTAAAGAAACGAGACTTCAAACTTCAAGAGGTTTTTCCAAATTGTGCTTTCAAATCCTGAAAGGGAAGACCATTGATAAATGCAAGAACAAAGGCAATCAGCTGGTCCTTTACCTTTATCTGGTGCCTTCCTTTTCAGGATCCCAAGGCATAATGACAACACTCAGGAACTGAAAAGCCTCATAGCAGAGTTCTTACAGAACTTTTCTCCTGTTTATAGGTGCAGAAAATAAGGCCCCAAGAAGACTAAGTTATTTTCTCCAGATCATACAAGGAGGCTTGGAGACTGAGGCAAGAGCTTCATCCCTCGGTTACCAGTCCTGTGCCCAATAAAAAGAGCAACTTCCTTGCTTTATACTGACAAGCATCACAAGGTTCAACAGTCCTGTGAGTTTTAACCTAATAAAATGAACAGTGGCGCACAGGCATTTTCTGCGGGGATAGAGAAATTATTCGAACCATTAACTCAACATTATACTAGAAAAATTTAGAAACTTAAGTTTTGAACAACATATTTAAAGGAATTTGACCTAGAATAGCAAAGTATGTCTGCTCATATTTCACTGCTGCAGGAGACACACATACTGTGCCTGGAAAGAGATTTATTTACAATATCCGCTTTCAAACTTCTCAAGACATCAAAAAATTGGTACACTAACATCAATAAACTTATCAGAGTTCATTTGAATCAACATCTAGTTCTTAAAAATTCAAGAAATTGTATCCTGAAGACATTTTGCTCAAGGGACAGTATTCCATAATGTTGAGCAAAAGCCATGCTAAGGATCCTTATTTACATGGGTCACTTCTAGGTGTCCTACTCTCTTGCACTACTGGGATAAACTTGAACACAATTCTTATTCCAAGGCTCTCACTGAAACAAGTTCACCAATTATGTGGTAGCAAGCCTGTTAATACTGAGATACAAACCCATACCCAAGGTAGAACATTATGGATGGAATGAAAGCATTAGGTGTAACTTTTCAAGACCAGACACTGGCGTTGGTCAACTTTTTGATGCTCCTGGGATTTTTATTTTTAAACCAGTCAGCTTCTTTGCAGAACCTTGGTAGCCACTTTTCCGATTGTGACTTTCGAGTTCCTAATTTTCAAAAGAACCTGTTTGGTTTTTTTTTATTCCAATAGTATCTGTTGGAGAAAGATGCTCTCTTGATCTGCTATTAGATGGATGACTTTTGTTCTGCCAAAAATTTGCCCTTCAGTAAACTCAGAGCTGCTCCCACAGCAAGTCCTTGCAGGAACCGGGAAATGCTCTTTAACAACTAGAACAATCTGTACAGTTAACCATTATTTTTAGTCTGCAGCCCCCAAGGAACTGTGAGGAGAAATGAAATACAGAATAAATATAAAAGAACCCACAATTTGTTGTTAAATATAATTAATACAGCCCAGCTCACAGCAAGCAGGTTTACTGTAACTAATCGACTATTTCAGTACAAATGACCATTAATGGTTTGATAACTTGTGGCAGGAAGAAAGATGAGGAAAAACCACAAAGTACTTATGATAACTATTCCAAAGATGGAAGAAGTTCACTTTTTTAAAATTGCACCCAAAAAAAGCAGTTAAATAAAGAAGAAATGCTATGAACACTTCAAATTTATCTTCTTCAAAATATTTATCTTGAGTCAACTTTACAGGAGAAACTCACTGTTGATGTAAGCCAGTATTAGTGTGTTCACCAAACTAGCAACCTCCATCAGGGCATCCAGACTACTGAGTCACTACCTAAACACAAGTGTTCCAGAGAACAAATAGCATCAAATAAACTATTTCAGAGAAAACAATGCCAGAAGTGAGTTTAGCACCAATTCTACTTGCATGTAGGTTAACACCCCTGCCCCCAACCAAACCAATAAGGAAAACAAAAATTTTAATGTCCATAAGCAGAGCAAAATTTTGAAATGCAAGGAATTTAATTAACATTTTGCTGCTTAGACAAGCCAGAAAAGCTGGAGAAGAGAGGAGACTTTAATACAGTAGTAACAATCAGATTCACACCATGTTCAATATGCACAACTGTCTCAAAACCACATTATGGCCACAAGCAAAAATGAATGGAATTACATATAAATACACATCAAAGTAAAGGGTAAGGTAACAGTCAAGTGAAAAATAAAAAATTTAAATACATCAGAGGGGAAAGAACTGTCCAAGTATCCAAAAATAATCCACCTGACTGCAGTGTGCCAAAAATCTGGTCAGACAACACGTACAAATCTACATCTAGGAGCTTAGATAAGTTTAGAAAGTTTTGATATTTGTTTTGCCTCCAGTGAGTAGACTTATGTTCCAGAGAGCAGTGGTGTTCTGCCACAAAAGCTGTTGTTTACTGGTATCAGCAAGCACCAGAGTCATGTAGACTGTGCAATGCAGCACAGAAACACGAACTATTCATAGACCTTTCAGCACTTTGGAGGAACAGTAGAACTATTAACTATGGCTTTTAAAATAAAAAATAATTTTAGCCATTCATATGAACTAATGTCATAAATCAAAAATAACTTTTAGAAGACATTTTGAGGGCTAAATAAACAGAGGAAGATGGAACAGTAGTGGAGGACAGCAGAACAGTCATTTCCACCTTCTTTATTGTTAAAGAAATACAATAGAGGACGTGTCTCAACAC